ATATTTATATATATATATATATATATATATATTTGTAATAGTATTATAATAATTTTAGTAAAGTAAAAATGATTTATATATATATATATTATATTATATTATATTATATTATATTCAAAGCCAGAACCTTTTTTGAGCTAGTGAGTGGGTTGAATTTATTTTAGCCATTTTAAGACTTTTTTCAGTACTTTAAAATATAAATTGCTATTAATAATTTCATAAAATATTTGCTATGTTAATTATTAAGGGCTGTTAGTTAAATATTGTGTTTTACAGAATGTTTACTCAGATAAATGAAGGTCTAATCAGGTCTAATCACTCTTCTTCTTCATTGTGTTTTTCAGAAATGCTGCTGGATGATTTTCTGTTGACGTATCTGGTCTTCATGTCCACCAGTGAGCTCTGCCAGGCCCTGCTGGGACAATATCCTTCAAACACCCATACAACAAGAATTATTTATTATTTATAATGACCTCTTTATTGTATTTTATTAACATCTACCCCTCAAAGTAATGTAAAAACAGTAATTATACCGAGAATTATTTATATTATTCATTAAATAAGTTTTATTGTGTTGTTTTCAATATTGTTTTTTAAGAACTGGTATCAGTGTAATGGTGATAATTGAATCAAATAAAAGACATGAAAAACAAACACTTGTATAACAAAATATTGAGTTATTAATATTTAGTATTTTTAATAAATGCAATGTTCATATATTATTTATACAGACCATTTCCACTGTATTTTACACTATTTAAGTACTTACAATAGAAATACTTTATCTAACTTGAAGTATTTTAGGTATTTCTATTCATTTTTTAAATTTTATATATTTTGTTTTGGGTTAATAATATAAAAATAGCAATTAAACTGAGAATTATTTATATTATTCATTAAATTACCTATTACTTGTATTTTATTAATGCCAACTCATACCCCCTATTCTAACCCTACTCCTCACAGTACTGTAAAACAGTAATTATAATGACAACTACTTATTAAATTGCCCATATTTTATTAACGTTTACCCCAATCCTAACCCTAATTCACTCCTTTTATAAATGTAAAAACACTAATTATAATGAAAATTATTTATTCAATAAGCCATTATTTGTATTTTTTAACATCTACCCCAACCCTAAACCCCACCTCATTCACACGGGGCTTCAGTGTCAACGCTTGACTGAAGGCGTATCTGAAGATGGGGCAGCCGCGATCGTCATAGCAGCGTCAGCCAATGAAATTCAGTCAGCAATAGTGGGCCACTGTCTAGCTGGTGTATTTGCATACAGCAATCTGATTGGCTGTCGCTTCCGTGGAGTCGAACTAGTCCCAACTTCTGCCAAAGAGCTTAGAATGACCAAGAGGCAACATTCAATAGAACGTTCCATTAACAGCAGCGCCCAGCAACAGCCCCGGATTCCGCCATTTTGGAGTGAAAGTGATCGGCCGTCCAGTGGATCTTATTGTTGTCGCGATGGCAAGCAGTTGCACTGTTTTTTATTTATTTATTTTAAAAGCGCGTTAAAGCTGAGATACAACCTGAAAGACGACAATACAACACTTACTATGACAATCATCAGCACTTTTAATAGTTTATTTTACAGACTTATAATATGCTGCTGTTCTATTGGAGTTTTCATTCCAAAATGGCTGCCGCGCCCTCTAGTGGCTGTTTCCCAAATTGCACTAGAGTGTCGCCTCTTGGTGATTCTATGCTCTTTGCTTCTGCAGTGAGCAACGCCTCTGAAGCAGCGCCACAATGGATCCACAATGCAGGTCTGTAATGCCTGACGTCACCCATTCAAAGTGAATGGGAAGCCTTGACGCTGACGCCCCGTGTGAATGCCCAAACTGTAATTGTTGTTGTACAGTAGTGGCTGTATCCCTCCTTGACTTTACCTATGAGCGTGTGCTTGCAGTGTTGTGAGTGTAGTGTAGCGTAGTGTAGTGTAGTGTAGTGTAGCTCGTCTGTCTGTGTGTGTTGTTTTGGTTGTTGTTTCTCTTTAACTCGATCTCACCTACTGTACGAAGCGCTGCAGGGGAAAGGAGGAGGGGAATGAGGCCCTCTACAGGAAGAGAAAAGTACTGCACCTCGTGTCTCAGTGGAGCTCGCTATACAAGGACTTCCTGCGCGAGGAGGAAAACGTCAAACTCTTCATGAAGGTCAGTACATTGCACAGACACTGTGTTAAACGTGTGGAATCTGTATTATAGAGGTTTTTTATTTAACTTCCTAATAACAAACAGGCATTTCGACTTCCTTTATTAAACATATATAACATTATATCCAAGCAACATATCATAAACAAAATAATGCAGAACAATAATCATAACATAAATAAAACATTAAATCGTATGAATGCAAATGAAAATACATTCAGGGTGGTCAATCCAAATAAGCTGACAGAAGTTTAGAAAGCTTTAAGGCTCGTCTTTGATATTATAGATGTAATTTGAGCAGTCAAGTGTCAGTTTTATTGTGTTGTTTTTAATATTGTTTTTTTTAGAACTGATATAAGTGTAATGGTGACAGTTGAATCAAATAAAAGACATGAAAAACAAACACTTGTATTGCAAAATATTAATTTATTAATATTGAAAATTAATATTTATATTATATTTATATTAATTAATATGTATATTAATATGAATTTAATTGAATTTAACATGAATTTATATATATATATATATATATATGTATATATATATGTATGTGTGTGTGTGTGTATATACACACACACACACACACACACACACACATGTTTAGGGATGTCCCGATCAGGTTTTTTCCACCCCTCGAGTTCAAGTCATTTGATTTTGAGTATTTTTTATTTTATTCACCTTATTTTAAAAATCCACATCTCTCTTAACAAACAGAGCACTTCTGTGAGGCGGCTTGAACAATCAAGTAACAAATAACATCAGTTCTTCACTTCTGAACTTTAGCGCAACAGTAAATTTAATATAAAACAAATAAAATACCCGGTAGGCAATCCCAAGTTCATAAATCTCACAGTTTGCTATGGTAATACTGTCATCATCAACTTTATAATACCTCCAGACTGCAAATATTCTCGCGCTTTCCGCTTCAAGCTGCTTCCATGTTCTACTTTGCCGGCATTTAACTAATAGAGTCTCAGCAGCAAAGTGATGTCATGCCACACGCGTTTTTTACAGTATTTTATTCAGTTCATATACAATTACTATATATATATACATTTTCGTTCAAGAACGTAAATGAAATTTCTACCAGCAATTTCCACCAAACATTTACGACTATTCAGTTAACATTTCTAGAATTTTTTTCAGAATTTTAAATGTTTTGATAAATGTAATATTTACAGTGTTTATATATTATTTATACATTAGACCATTTCCACTGTATTTTACACTATTTATGTACTTACAGTAGAAATACTTCATCTAATTTGTAGTATTTTAAGTATTTCCATTAATTTTGGAATTTTATATATTTGTTTAGGACTAATAGTAAAATTTCAAGCAGTATTAAATTATATATATATATATATATATATATTAAAATACATTAGTAAATTATATTTATTAGTAAACATTTTCTCAAAAGTATTACAATTATTATTTTATTAGTAATACATTTTTTCAGACTTTTGCACAATTATTATTCAAAAAAATGTTTTCATTAATATGTTAGACTTTTTCTTTCCTCCTTTTTCTAATTTGCTCATCTATAATTTTGAGAATATTCAAAAAAATAAGGGCGACACGGTGGCTCAGTAGTTAGCACTTTCACCTCACAGCAAGAAGGTCGCTGGCTCGTTCTGGTTTCCTACAGCTGCTCTGGTTTCAGGCGCTATAGGTGAATTGATTAGCTAAATTGGCCATAGTGTATGAGTGTGTGTGAATGTGAAAGTGTATGGGTGTTTCCCAGTGCTGGGTTGCAGCTGGAAGGGCATCCTCTGTGTAAAACAAATGCTGGAATAGTTGACGGTTCATTCCGCAGTGGCGACCCCAGATTAGTAAAGGGACTAAGCCAAAAGGAGAATGACTAGAATGAATGGCTGAGAAAAAAATAGCCCCGCCCACAGTGAAATCTGATTGGCTCACATTCCTGCTCTGCATAGCTGCATATCGACCTGAAATGTGTTCTGATTGGCTTTGAAGTGCGTTCTAAATCTGTGCGTGTAAGTCCGTGTGTGTGTGTTAGGCTGGTAACACCCAACTCGTCCTCTGTGTGTGTGTGTGTGTGTGTGCGTGTGTGTGTGTGTGTGTGTGTGTGTGTGTGTGTGTGTGTGTGTGTGTGTGTGTGTGTGT